TTGTTCATTTTCTCCATGTATCTGATAGCCATTAGGTATCAGGTGTACTTGATTCTTTATAACTCCATTTGATCCTTGTATTATTGTATTAACTTTTCATGTTTAAGCTTATGAGCCCTCTTTGTATGATTGGGACTCCTATTTTTCCCAGACTCTATTTTTTTAATTGCTTATACTCATATATTAAACAAATATTAGTGTTTCACATCCTGTTTTGTGATGCTAGTTATCTCTTAAATTATATCTTTTGTAATTGTCACCTCCCAAGTGTCTTTATATAATTATGTACCTTAATAAGTGTATGGAACAACAAATTCAAAACAACCTGGGGTAGTTTGGACACTTGCTGAAGAGTCAATGAATGATATTAAAATGATTAGTGTTGAGGCATGGTTGTCACTGAGCAAGCTTGTTGGAAGAAATCTTGGGATTGGAGATAGGGATGTCAGCACAGTTCCTTTCCCAAACTTCATAGCACTCACAATTCTGTTTGCCTTACGGGCGTGCAGCTGGCTTTTCTGTTTCAGTGCATTGTTAGATCAAAAACAAAGTCTCCTTTTTCATTTCTTATGCATCCTATTATCTGGACAACATGTGTGCTGGATATCCCAAAAAATTCCAATTATAGAGCTCATGTCTAAACTGGTGGTTTTAGAGTATGGTTTTAGTAAGGTCATTCATGAAAGGAGATAAAGTCTGGGCCTATGCAAAGTTGTATTGAAACTGCACATAAAGCTGAGTCCTTGAAAGTGATACCCTCAGTAAAAGAGTGAATTGTAGACAAAGCCAACCCTTGAAGAGGTATTGTAGAGAAGTTTTATCTGCCTTGGTCCTTGCTATCTGGCAAAACAAAAACAAAACAAAACAAAACAAAACAACAAACAACTTTCCCTTGAGAACTCATAACCATCCTTTTACACAGGTTTTAGGGTCAGAATTCACACTGCATGTATTATCCCAGAAACCCAAGGTCGAGAGTGTAGCTGAAAGTATCTAATGGATAAGTGATGGAACCAGGTGGTGGCAGCAACGCAAAATCCTTCTGAGAATGCAGTTTAAGTAGGAATGGGCATTCGGTGGCTCCAGTCGGTTAGGTGTTTACCAACTGAGGTCATGACCTCACGGTTTGTGGGTTCACCCCACGCAGGCTCAGGGACGCTGACACAAACTTGTGAGTTTGAGCCCCATAGTTGGGATCGTGACCTGAGAGTGCGGATTTTTGCCTTTGGGATTCTCTTCCTTCCCTTGCCCCTCCCTTGCTCATGTGTCTGTCTCTGTCTCAAAGTGAATGAATAAATTTAAAAAAATAATTAAAAGTAGAATTCATGGAGTTGTCAAATAGTAAATTAGAACTTAAAGAGAGAATAAGTGAAATGAAACAGATTAAAGAAACTTACTCAGATAACGGCCTAGGGGAATATAAGTAGAGAAAAGATAAAGTGGAAGTTAAGAGAATGATATATGTGAAAGTCTGACATATGACAAATCAATACCCCTGAAAGGAAAAAAAAAGAAAGAATGAGAGAGGGAAATGTTCAAAGAAATGAGAGCTGATAATTTTGCAGAATTGATAAAAACGAATGCTTAAGACTAGAATCCTCAGTGAATTCTAAGAATAAGGAAATGAACCACTCTCTGACATATCACCCTAGTACACATCAACACCAATGAAGGAAAATGGAAAAGTAGAGAAAAAAGACCAAGCCCTGTAAATGAAGATTTACATAGAATTAACAACTGACTTCAACAGCACAGTGGAGGTCAGAAAAATAGTTGGAATGATACTCTCCATGGACCAAGAGAAAATATTATAACCCTGAATACTGAAGTAGATTAATAGCTTCATCTCCCCAATATCGGTTGTCTGCTTTCTTCTTTTGTAATAAAGTCTTGATTTGTGGCGCCTGGGTGCTCATCAGTTCAAGTGTTGCAGACTTTTGGTCTGTATGATCTCACAGTCTTGAGTTCAAGCTTGTAGGCCTAGTTGCCCACAGCCTCGAGCCTAGCCTCGCCGATTCTGTCTCCCTCTCTCTGCTCCCCCTCCCCTCAAAAATAAAATACAAACATTAAAAATATTGTAACATAAAAGTTCTGATTTGTAACTGAACACAGAATGCCTGAATAAAAAATCACCATTTTCCTAGCCTTCCTTACAGTTAGCATTATCAGAGAAGTAGTGAAAGTAGTAATTTATATTAAAGTCTAACAAGTCAAAAGTTGCTTTTATTGTAGGCAATTGGTAAGATAATATAAAAAAAATGAAACGCTTCTTTGATGTTGGGTAAGGGCCCAGGTCAAATCATCCCTGAATGAATGATTTTTCCTTATGAATCATTTCATAGAAGAAAATGAAGTGGTCACATGATCAGCATGTGTTTTTTTTCACTCCTGGATCACAGGATAAGGAGGTGGTGATCCAAGGAGAGCCTGTTAATTTTTCTGAATTGGTGAGGTAGGGAGATAAGCCAGGGAGGCCAAGTGGCTACAATTTACAAGGCAGCATACTAGAAGAGAAAGCTATGTAGAGAAGGAGCTTAGGTAGAATCTGTATTGGTGGGAATGTTAAGCTGGTGCAGCCACTGGAAAACAGTATGGAGGTTCCCCAAAAAACTAAAATAGAACTCTCCTACCCATCCAGAAATTGCACTACTAGGTATCTATCCAAGGATGGGACAGGTGTGTTGTTTCATGGGACACATGCAACTCCACAGTTTATAGGAGCACCATCAACAATAGCCAAAGTATGGAAATTGAAAATGTCTATGGATGGCTGAATGGATAAAGAAGATGTGGTATATCTATACAATCGGAGCTATTACTGGCAATCAAAAAAGAATGACATCTTTCCATCTACAACTATTGCATGGAACTAGAGGGTATTATGCTATGAATTAATCAACAGAGAAAGACAAAAATCATATATGACTCTCACTAGATGAGGACTTTAAGAGACAAAAACAGATGACATAAGGGAAGGGAAACAAAATATATGTAAAACAGGGAGGGGGACAAAACAGAAGAGACTATAACATGGAGAACAAACAGAGGGTTACTGGAGGGTTGTGGGGGGAGGCATAGCCAAATGGGTAGGCACTAAGGAATCTAACTCCTGAAACAATTGTTGCACTATATGCTAACTTGATGTAAATTTAAAAAATATAAAAATAAAAGGAAAAAAGGAAAAAAAGAAACAAAACTAATTAACAAAGAGAAAGAGAGGAGACAAACCAGGAGCAGCACTTCAACATAGTAGAGAACAAAGGATTGGTTACCAGAAAGGAGGTCGGGTCATCGGATGGGCAACAATGTGAAAGGGATTAACAGTATGCTTATCATGATGAGCACTGAGGTAATGTAAAACTCATGAACCACTACATTTACACCCATAAACCAATATAGTACTAAATGTATAAACTTTTTAAGAAATAAAAATTAAAAGATAGTTACCTTTTAGGGGACAGTCCCTAGATTGTACTCTTAATTTTGCAGTCTGTAGTTCAAAACTATTTAATTTTTAGAGCTTATGGAGCTATTTTAGTCTGCTTGGTTCATCTGGTGCTGCTGAAATAAAGCTGTATGACTATACAAAAAAAAAAAAAAGAGGGCCCCTGGGTGGTATGCGCGGTTGTGTCCTGACTTCAGCACTGGTCCTGATCCTCATGGTCCGTGAGTCGAAGTCCCCGGGCCGTGGTTCTCTGGCTGGGATGGGCCCAGAGCCTGGAGCCTGTTTCCCGAGCCTTGCGCGTCTCCCTCTCTCTCTCTCCCTCCCCCTGCATCATGCTTGTCTTCTCAGTGTCCAAAAAATAAAATAAACGTCTGAAAAAAATGTTT